AGTCACTATCGTTTTTTTTTTTTTATTCTTTTTTGATTTGTTTATGAATGTCATGTCGTCCAACTATTGAATTTGTCGGCAATAACACGTCGTAGCTCAACTGACAATTCAAGCCAGCCTAAAAGTGCAACGCCGACTGATGACAATGTGCATAGAGGTGAATATCATGTTTTTTTATAATGCTTGCACTGTATGTGTGTGTGTGTGTGTTTGTGTGCACGAATTTGTTTGTATCTATTTCGACCCATGTGCGTGTAGTTACGTGTCTGTCATAGCTTTTTGCGTTGATATTTGATATTCAATATATATGCGTATGTATTGCGTGTTATCCTCTGTTTATAATGTGTTTATAATGTGCATTGGTTGGAAGAAAAAATATGCAACTCGCAGTGCACAATTGTGCACCATAACTGATATCTATAATTGTTGATTACATACTGTTTGAATATGATTGTTATGGTGTTCACTATGTTATTAATTTATCCCATGTGTCACACTATTTTGTTTTGTTTTTTTTTTTTTTTCACNTCGGTGGCAGATAAGAGACATGCAGATGAATCAGTACGTAACGCATCACATGCGAAGCGCGTCAAGATGGTTGGGTCATCATCGAACTGACCTGACAGTAGCGATGATGCCATCACACGAAAGTGTATGTTGTATTATTTGTCGAACTACGAACGTATATAATTTAGGTACAAAATTTTAATGCGTTTATGTATGTGTCAAGAAAGGGAACGTGGTTACCCATGAGCATTCCGTCGATCATGAATTGAACAACGATCTTGTCGAACACGAATCTGGTAGTGACAATGATGGTGCATTCCGTCTATCAATACCAGATCTACAGTTGCAACATTTGTGAAGGCTGTGTCCGGCATGTCGGATGTGAAAAGACAGGCAGTTCGTGAGATGGGGTTCGGCTACCTACTTGACATGAAGATAACATCATTGCCGCAAAAAATGGGATGTTACCTAGTTGAGAACTTTAACCACCTGGACCGCAAGTTGTGTTTATACCAATGTTCTGAAAACCGGACCGTTCATCGAACCGGTCAAGCTACTTGTTCAATGGTTCACTGGTCCGACCAGTGGTTGAACCGATTGGACCGTTATTGAATTTATTAATATTAATAAATATATATAATATTTTATATAATAAAATTTATGTATAAAAGTTTTATTAATTAAATATTAAGACAATTTAAAACATTCAAACACTTAAACTAACTAATAATAAATTACTTCTTTTAAATTTGAATAGAAAGAAAATTCTAAAAGAAAAACCATATATATCTATTATATAATTATGTATTTTTTTATTTGCTGACATCAATTAAAAATTAAAAATAAAAGTGGAGCAAGCCACTTTCTTTTAAATTTTAATTTGTCAAAGATATTTGGCAGCATATGCCCCAGTCCCACATCGCTTATCAAATTAAAAATTGAGGGGAGAGTGGCTATAAATGGAAGCAATATTAGTGGACCTCTACTAAAGAGAACCGTGGGCAAGAGGTTGGCATTAATGTTTATGGCCCACATCATGATGGACTTGAAAGATATGAGTCCAATATCAAACAGTCTAAAATTTAAAGTGCTAAATGTAAAACCGTTGGCCGTAGTGAACCGTTTCCGGTTTTCCGGTTTTACCAGTTTTCAACCGATTTGAACGGTTTGTGAACGGTTCTTGAGCCCAGCGGTTTAATACCTCAAACCGAACCGGTGTTCTGGCTGGTTCCCGGTTGAACCGGCCGGTCCGGTCCGGTTTTCAGAACTATGGTTTATACAGTGGCGAAAAGATACACGTGCGGGAAGATTACGTGTATGCTGTGCTAGGTCTGCCTCGTGGCCCACTCCAAATAACAAATAAGCAAAAGAGAGTCGAGTCGAGCATACTTAACGAATGGATTGGACAATTCAACGTTAGAATGCCATCCAATATCACCGCAACTAAAGTGCTGGAGAAGATTGAAGAATGTGCAGATGGCGGCGATTGGTTCAAGAGGCATTTTGTGGTTCTGATGGTTACGTGCTTGTTCAAGAGTTCTCAGAATGGGATGGTAAATTTTCGTATCGTCCACCTGCTCGATGATTTATCCAAGGTCATCGACATGAACTGGTGTGCGTAAATGATTAGTTGCCTCGTGAACACAAAAAAGTCGTGGGGCGGTAACGCTAAAACGAAGAAATATACAGACCCTTTACTGTTTCTGACGGTTAGTTTTTATGTTAAGTATTTTTGTTGTCTGTATGATACACGTCATCCGTTTGTCTTTGTTTCTATTTAATTATTTATCTTTTTATGGTTATGTTTTGGTGCGGCTTTATAATGTGCTAATCAATTATGTTAATTGTTTTGTGTAGCTGTTATATGTGGACAAAGTAGTGTTGTCGATCAGAACCGTTACGAGAACCTTCCCGACATTTAGAGCTTGGAACAACGAACTACTAAAGCTTAGGGAGCGTGCTGAGATAGAATCTGGGGCATTCGGTAGAGGATTTGTGGATGCGGATGCAAGTGTTTTGGAAGCTGAATGTTCAGATGTGATTGGTAAAATAACTTTTGGTGACGACATGACGCGTGGGTCGGAAAATTTTGTTCAGGTACTTATAATGTTTATTATTCCCGTGTGTGCTGTTAATGTTTAATGTTTGCCGTTGTATATCGCATTGTTGTAATATCATATGTTGATTGTGTATGATTTATTTTTTATTTATTTAGTTACTTTTTCTTTTTTGGTCTCCAGACATTTGTGCACAAATTTGCTGCTAAAACTCGAATTCTCGCCACTACTGGTATTGAAATACTACGGCTTGTCGAGAATGTACCACACATTCTAGTTGAGGATGAAAAGTTCATGAAGATGCAAGTTGCAGCACAAAAACTTCTCGGTGTTTCGGAGGATGACTCAAAGCTGCAGTCGAAACAGTATACTACAAGTCCCCACACGAACATGCAAAAAGGGCCACATGTTGTGGTTCCAACGCAACTGATACCTGCACATAACGTTGATGTGCACAGTGAAGTCTTCAAGAGTAGCGTGACGCAGACAACAGATGATGCATTTTGGAACAATCCAGACACGTTGGCTGCGATAGATGCAATTGTGGAAGCAGTCGCACGCCGAGACAATTTCAGACGGATGCAACTAGATGTCCCTAGCTTCAGCTTGGGCTTGGGTCTTTCTTCAGACGATGACGAACCAATGGCAGGTGTAGTTGGCGTCTCAGCCGGGGTAGATACACCAACATGTATGTTACAATGAGTTCTCTATGCGTACGATTTATTCGTTTGTTATTTATTATTATTATATTATTTTTTCGTTGTTTTTTTGACTGTATTCTTATATAGATGCACTTTTTTATGGTTTCGTGTCGTTTATTATTTTTGCCCCAGCTAACTGTGTGATCGATAACAATGTTGGCATGGATGATGCTGGGGTCGGTATTATACGAGGTACATAAAATGGTAGTTCTGCAGTTGTTTATTTTATTTTAATTTGTAAGGGTGTGTTTTAGAGTTCATTTGTGTATGTAATTGTGCAAGGGTTGTTGTGGAATGCACATATTCTGTGAGTGATTATGTTGTTTTTTTCCTCGTGTGCGTAGATGACGTTGTTGTGTCCGAGCATCTTGATGATGGTGAAACACGTGTAAATGTGGCCGATGTTCACGTAACTCAAGGTGTGTATTACGAATGTATTATAGCTGATCACATTAATTACGTTGTATGACAATTTATTTTTATGTTAATTTATACATGAAAGTAGGTATTGTTTGTGATGATGGCCTGGATGGAAACTCGAGGCCGAAGAGGCTAACAAATGTGACTAGTGCAATCAAGTCGCCATATATGCGGAGGGTGATTAATGTGAATAAGAAACTAGATGGACGGGAGAAGATGTAACAATCCTAAGTTCCTAAATCCACAGAAACTACCGAACCCCTTTAACCGAACCCGAGATGTTGACGACCGTACAGCCCAGGCCGCAGTAATGCCCCTCACCTAGCATCCTATCCCTAAACGTCTGCGCCGCTTCTCCTTTAAGCTTCCACCACTTCGTTCTCACGGTCTTGCTATTTCACTTATAGATTTAAGACTTGTTATTTACAACTGGGTTCTAAAGAACGATGTTGATGTCGAGTAAGTTTTTCATTCTTTTATACGTGTTGGTATTTGTTTTTGTTTTTGTTTTTTTTTGGTTTTTTAATTATAAACTAGCATTAATAACAATATACATAATATTACTGAATAATGATTTGTCTTTAGTTTTTATCTGAACGTCTTTTCTTTTCGCGTTATGCATGTGTACCAAGGAACATCGAGACAATTATATTCCAAACACCTGAATACTTTGCATCGAGGTCGGACATGATGTGTCTGATGCCGAACAATGATATTACCAGCACGATGATAGACTTATGCGCCTTTATTCGTAATCACTTCGAAAAATTCAAGAGTCGTGGAGTAGCCGCGTGTTTCTTCGCATCTACGTCCCCGTGCAACGAGGTATGTTATGTAATCTTATTTGAAATATACTAGCATACATGTAAATGTTTTTGAGTTCACACAATATAGCTATAATGTTTTGTGGCGTCCGTGTATATTTGCAGCTATTTTTCGAGGGCAAGAGAAGGAAGGACGTGATATACAAGAAGTTTTCTAGTTGCCTTGAGTCGGATATTGGGCGGAAGCCCGTGTACAACCTAAAACAAATATCAATGGTGAGTTCAGTGTGATTGTGTTTGTGTGGTCTTTGTTGTTCTCAAATTTACACAAGAAATGATGCGGTGCTCTAGATTTGTTTTAATGCATATGTGTAACCACGTCTGATATTAATTGTGTTGATGTGTTTTTTCTGATAAATGATGCTTATAGACTCGTTGTATTGGCATGTGATTATTGGTGAATAAAATAGAATGTTTGTGTTTAGATACTTTTGTCATGCGATTACTTGTGGTCATGTGATTATGTAACAAACACATCCTGTATTTTTTGTCGATACTGCAGTTGTTATTTCCTGTACACTCGGGGACATTTTCTGGTTTGTTGTGTTTTGCGAAAGACACACAAAAGTATACGGTGTTGGATAGCGCTGGTTTCTGTAGAGACATGTCGGTTAAGGCAAAAGTCATGGCACAGGCTGATATGCTTGTAAGTGTGATGATATGTATACGACTTGTTATCGTGAGTGCTCCCCATGTTATATATCAGTAGTTTCTTAGTAATTTATTATATTAATTTGTCATGTTAACACAGAAAAGTTCATTCTCCAAATACCGAGGGGAGAGAAACATGGCGGAGTTTTCTAAGATCGTTGGATTGTCTATTCCAGAAATAGTCATTCCGACTTGGACAGAGGGTGTTGATACGGTAGACAGTGGGGTGGTCACTATGCGGCACATGGAGACATTCAAAGGGACCGGTTTGCAAGGCTTAAATACAAATGCAAAGAAGGCATACAAGGGGCAAATGAAGCTAATGAGAAAGCGATACTGCTATGTAATAGCATGTGCTCCAAATAATAAGGTGAAGGATGTAAACCTCGATGAAGCTAATCGATTTTACCCATTGTATATAAAGAAGAAGCAAGGTCGTGCTGCTGCCGCATGATGTTTGCTCCAAGCTTGAAAGTTTTTAGGGGTTAGCCTTGTGGCGTTCTTTCCAATTACCTTTTTTTTTTTTTATTCTTTTGTTTTTTTTTTCTTTTTATGGACAATGTAGTTTTTGTGCAGCTTCAGCCGACAACCGACATATGGATATGGTATATGTGATGTGTCGGTGATTATATTCTTTTTTGTGGATGCCTATGCGATGAAAGCAAACGTTTGGTACAGATCGATTATTGGTTTTGTGAATGATTATCGGAATTGAGAGGTGTGATTGTTTGGTTTCTGCTGTATGGAATGGTTATGAATATTGAAGTATTATGATGCATTTGGTCATGTTATGGTTATAGTTCTCATCGTGATTTAGCTCTTTTCGTTGAATGTCTTCTTCTTGTTATCTTTCAGTGGTTATAATTTGGCCTGGAATGGTAGTATACATAATGTGCAATGGTGTTGTCACTAAAGTGCAAGATAATACAGTACAATGTGCAATGTACAACACTTGTCCATATATTGATGGTATACATAATGTGCAACGTTATCGTAAATAATGTGCACGATGCTACTGTATAATGTGTGATTGCTTGTTCGTGTTGATACTATTCATATCAGTGGGCTATGTACACACATCATGTTTTGTATTAGTGTTGTGTTATTTATGCATAGTATATTATACATCTGCCCATATATTGATGATATACATAATGTGCAACGTCAATGTAAATAATGTGCACGATGCTACTGTATAATGTGCAATTGTTTGTTCGATAATAGTGGGCTATGTACACACATCATGTTTTGCATTAGTGTTGTGTTGTTTATGAAAATGAGGTTCGAGTACTGGAATAACAGTGCGCGTTCTTTATGTACTATACTGATGATTGGGGTTCGATTTAATACTCATTCTTAATGTGCAGTCATGATATAACTATTGTGCTATAATGTACTATATAATGTGCATGATATTAGTTACTGCTGCATTAATAANTCAGGTCTGTTTGCAGTATTTATGGAATGTACTGGTTGTGATAACAATAAAACACACGAGTAATAACAACAACAAATCTAACAATAAATAATAAACAAGAAAAAAAAACAAATAAACAATAATAATATTAAAATACTTTTCACATTGCAATACCATGTTGCATTAAACATAAAGGCATCATTCAAAGTATTGATGTGACAAAACGGTTCATATCACTGTATCAACATTGGTTATTATCGCGCGTGAATTAAAGTACATCTCAATCGACAGCTGAAGATATGGTGTCCTTGTGCCATGGTAAATTCACCGGATGATTGTGTCTGCGTGTGAAAAACAAAAAAAAAACAAACAAATAATAAAAAAAAATAAATTGTTAGTATATATATATTGTTTTTGAAATAAAACAGTAAGGATGTACGTACGAGATGCCATTTTATGGGTTTAAGACATAGCACGCTGTTTTTCGGGACATGTACGGGTATTGTGGCCCGCTCTCTCGCCACATGTCTTGCATACACGTCTTTTTTTCATGTTTTTTTCAATGGCCTGCTCCTTTCCACTCTTGAGCCATTTCCCACTGCCCTTGTTATTTGACTGTGCAGGAGGGTGAATACTCACTTCCTGGGGGGCGGACAAGCCGACGAACGATTCAAAACGATGTTCTTTGGTGATTCCACTCGGAATACTTTCCTGTTCAACCATTAATTTATGCTTGTGCTTTCTGATAAGTGTCGAGAACTCAACAAGACGTTCAGTACAACAAATATGTGTTTACACAGCCAACCGAACATTTCAAAATGTTTGCAAGAGCATGCGGAGGACTTCATGTTCATGTTGTATGACACCACAAACATTCTGCCACTAACTTCTTTGATTTTGAATGTCATCTGACCATTGTCTTCCGAAATGCTCATAACACGACAATTGAAACATGCTGCACATATTTCCTTTTGGACAAGATAAAATATGCTCGTTGTGTATACATTTAATGCATGCTTCTCAATAGGCAACGGGGTCTTGAAGTCTGCTAGATGGGATTCACTGTTCCCTTGTAATTTCATAGACGTGTTCCGTTATGCATCCATTGCACTCTCAAAGTGTAGCAAGAACTCAACTAGGCTAGCATGGTTATTTGTGAAATGTTCAAACCATATGTTCTCACTTTCGGATCTAGACGTAGTCCTCATTAATCCGCTCATTTTAACATTTATGAAGAATGCCGGAATCCAATGTTCCCGCTTTGCAAACAAATCAACAAACCAACTATGGGTTTCCAAATTATAGACATGCATGAGTGCATACCATTTTATTTCAAACTCAGCTGGTTCTATGTTCCGACTCCAAACTATTTCGTTAAGCTTTGTTTTGAAATCAGCCTCATTGTACAAACAGTGCCCAACTTTGTCACACAATTTTGACATTATGTGCCACATGCAAAATCGATGTTGGGTAGTATTAAATACCTTTGAAAATGCAATTCCAATTGAGGGATCTTGATCAGTGACCATGTATTCTGGTTCTTGAATCATGGCATTCTTGAAATTTTCAAAGACCCATACGTAAGAACCAACGTCCTCCTTCGATATCAACGCTGCTGCAAACGTAACACACTTGTTATGGTTATCTATCCAAGTAAAGGGAGCAAAAACCATATTGTATCTGCAAAACAAACATGTTTTTTAGAATGTCACACTATAATGTGCACAATTTATGATGTATTGTGCAACATATTACAATGTATTGTGCATTCCTGAACAATTCCATCAGATGTGAACAATCTTATCAGATGTGTACCTATTCGTGCGATACGTTGCATCAAACGTCACAACATCCCCTAACGACCCGTAATTTCTCCTTGAAATTGGATCAGCCCAGAAAAGTCGGCATAAACAATCATCTTCGTCTAGTTCATAATGAAAATAAAAGGTAGAGCTGGTCTCTTGTCTCTTGTAGAACTTTTCGATAACTAACTGTGCATCCGCTCCAGAAATGTATGCAAGGAGCTCGCGTTTGAAGTTTTTGAAATCGACGCTAGTGGCACCTATGTTTGAGTATTCGCTCACCACCTCTTTGTACAACTTGTACGACTTGATAGGGCCAATATTGGCCTTTATACAGTTCAAGACGAACGCCTAGTGCCCTGCATTCATTGTTCGGCTAAGTCTGAGGCGTTGTCTACATTCATCAGAGACCATCAAATGGTTATGTCTCTCCTCAAAAGAGGTGACAATATACCCACTGGTCCCGTCCACGCGCAGCGCTATCCTAGCAATGCATCCCACTCAGTTGGACACTCTACGTCTTCTTACACGTCCTTCGGTTTGGATTGAATGATTCGGTTGTGAATGGTGCTTATAACCCTCTCGTGAGCATACTAAGTACCTCCAAATGGTGGTCTTATCCTTCGCCTTAATCAACGTGCTGTGTCGTACGTCAAAACCAACAAAGCAAGCATACTCTTTGTAGAAGTCAATTGCAGCATCTATGGATTGAAATTTTTGTCCCTTACGCGGCTTAAGTGACTCGTCACAGTCCGGTATCCAGTATTTGGTACCTCCAGGTGTGATCGAGAGGTGTTGACGACCCGCATACGGTTGTGTTCCTGTGGAAGTACGAGAGAATATCAGGAGAGTGCATAATTATGCACATCATAATGAACACCAGTATCATGACGTATGAACATTATATAGGTACCACATTAGTGTCATATAAGGACACAACTGCGTTCATACTCACTAATCAGCTTTTGTGCTGCACATTATACTGAATGCACAATTATGTTTGGAGATTTGCAAAATTACTAAAAAATACTTGCACAAAACATAATAACGACTAGATTAAAGTGTAATTAAATATCGGAATACATTAGAACATGAACTACCTGTTTGAGTAATATTCAAATCCATCGCTGATGAAGATAAGACAATGCAAGATGTTTCAATGAACCTGAAGATTTATATACATATATATATGTATAAGAAAAAACATAGTAATAATAATAACATTAACCTCCATCATCCACATCTGCATTAATTTCTTATTCAGACAATTTCGAGTGCTTATTCATTAAGTGCTTGATCAATCGGACAATTTCGAGTCCACCGTAATTACATTAAGGCAAAAAAAAAAAAAAATACCATAATCTCATCTGAATATCACAATATATTTGTGTATGCTGAGCTATTATTCACCTCGTTGAAGCCCTAATTTGCAATAAAAAAACGTACCTCGTTCAAGCCCTAATTTCTCTTTTCGATCGCTTGAATGATGGATCTCGTGCCGCGACACATGTTTTAGACCACGCGTGNGCAGTAGTTGCTATAATAAAAATAATTTATTTTATAGAAGAAAATAACACTCAAATAGTGAAGAATGTAATTATAATTTCTATATTTTAAAATTAAACTATTTTGTATTTACTTGGTCCTTTTTTATGTAATTATATTCTTCTTTCTAAAATTTGATTTCCCTAATTTACATAATTTTATTTTAATTTCAAAATTTAATTTTCCTAATTTTATTATTTATTCAGTTTTGGGAAGATGGAAGCTATATTTTTCCATTTTAATTAAAAAAATCTGATTCATTCAATTTTATTATTTATTTAGCTTTGGAAGATTAAATCCACTTTTTTTTTTTTAAATAAAAAAAATGAACCTTTTTAGTTAGAAATTTTGATTTCTTCAATTTTATTATATATTTAGTTTTGGGAAGATAAAAATCACTTTTTTCTCTTTTGTCAATTAAAAAAAATAAACATAATTAAGTAATTAAAATCTCAAAGCTAGAGTCTTATATGTTTTATCCAATAAATTTGGGTAATCTTTTATAACTTGCTTTCTCATTTTTGTTTTTTACAAAATAAATAAATATGCACATACATATGACGTGATGGAAAAAAATGCATAGGAAATAGTTGTACACTGTTATAATCTATGAAGGAAAGAAATGCATAGGAAATAGTTGTACACTGTTATAATCTATGAGATCAAAGTGATGTTATAAAAAATACAATCCAATTAATTAGCATGAAATTTCAACATTGACATCATACACTGGATATGGTTTAATGGAGATTTGGTCATGATTCAACCTCTTATTATGCTCTTAATCTTCTGATTATTAGTTAATTATTCCCAATCTCATTTGAATAAATATGGACAAAANAAAAAATTAGAGAGAATACAAAAGCAGACAACTTAATTAAAAGCTCTTTAGCAGCATAAATATATTAAAGGACAACAATTGGAATTTTTTCACGCAACATCCATAACTAGGTTTACTTCAATCAAGAGACAACCTAGCCACAAAGGCATCATAAACATACATACGTATATATTGTTCATATCTGACAATTGGAAGCTATGAAAATACATATATAAATATCATGCATATTATTTAAGATAATTAATAATGTCGGTGACTGTTCGACTCGGACTAATTATGCAGCTGATTCGGTCCATCGGGCGCGACCCTTAAAGGATCCACATTGAGTGACTTTGCTTTTCTTTGATAGTATTCAAACTTAGCCTCATCAAATCCCAATTTACGCATCATTAGGTCACGACCTGTCCTCGTGCCATGGTCAGGTAGTTTGTGGTCAACCATGATATTTGATCGTGCGACCGAGCTCACGATGAACATGGGCAAGATGATTGTGATAAGTAGCAAAACTTTTGCGCTTCTGACACCCGAATTTTTCATTTTTTGATTGCTAATATGATTGATTTGAAAGAAAAAACCAAAGGAAAAATGATTTTTTATGTTCAAGTTGTGATTAAGCTAAAGAAACTGTGTGAATGAGTTGTGTGGTGTGATGTCCTATATATAGGGCCAAAATATACATGAGATTTTAGTAACATTGCTTTTTCAATATCTTATGTCAAATTATCTTCCGTCAATTAATTAAATGGATTTTTATGGTAAAATTCTTTAGAACAAAATTATCAAAATTTTGTACAGCAAATGATTTTATATTTTAGTAACCATTTTATGTATTGCGTTGTATTGCATTTCCAATATCTTCTGTCAAATTAAATGAAATCGTTCCAAAAATAAGAATGATAGAATAAAAGAGATATAAACCAAATTCACACACACAATATCGCACGTGAAGTCACAACATAAAACTGATATACAATAGATATAGACAAAGTTTTTATATCTATTATATAAACTAATATAATACCCGTGTATTACATGAACGTTTTTAAGAATTTATATTTATAAAAATTAATAGTACAATACTCGTGTATTTAAACAATTTGATTGATTACATATGGTATAACATGTATATTTATAGTAATCAATATTTAATTAAATCAATACCCGTGTATTTAATTAAAAATAATTAAATAAAAAGAGCCTATGGTATAACATATATATTTATAGTAATCAATATTTAATTAAATCAATACCCGTGTATTTAAATGAAAATAATTAAATAAAAAAGAGCCTATGGTATAACATTTATATTTATAATAATCAGTATCTAGGTTTGTTGATTCCATAATTAATTGATATAACGCCACATACATGGCGTTTGATGTGTAATGAAATTTTGGTATTATACAATTTGTCTTAAATAATTTGTAAGACTCAAAAAATATGTTTTTCTTTTTTGGTACAAAGAGAGACTAACCATAAGTACCGGAAATCGGTACGTGTCGAGGGTACGAAACTCCGACAATATCGTGGTGTAACTATTCTCGAACCTCATCCGACGGCGCACATCAAAAGATTGGAATCCACCCGGGTTCTTGTAGCTATTCTCCCCATGCAATCTGCAACTCAAAAAATATGGTATTTAAACATAAACATGGTATGTTAATATGGTATATAAACATCAACAATTATCACAAATTGTATTGTAGATACCAAATATATTTATAGTATGTCCGAGCCTATTTTTTTGGTAACATAATTAAATTAATTTTTATCCGAGTCAAAAGCCGAAACATGAAATGTTGCCAAATAAGAATTTGAAGCGTGCGAGCCAGCCATGTAGGCTCAGCACGTTTTGAAATTATATAAAGGGGATATTCACTATAAAACTGATATACAATAGATATACACAACGTTTTTATATCTGTTATATAAATATTCTCTGGTAAACTTAGTGCGAGAGGTATTAGACTATATTTTTATATTTTCTTACACAATCTACATTAATCTATATGTATATATGTACATATATAAATGTTAAATTTAAGTATTTTTAGTCATTTCGTCTTTACAAAATAGTTTACAAAAATTTTAGGTGACTTCACATTTTTCCTGAACAATATAGAATATTTGAGATATTTTTGCATATGTTATATCATATTTTAAGTGTTTTTAATATTTTAAACATAATCGTTTATGTTTTTTTATATGTGATAACTTTATATTGTTTACAAGAAACTGATATACGTAAATTATATCACATGTTAAACTCAAATCTTTAATTTATAATTATCATTTAATATTGTTTAATCATATCTTTTATTTATAATTATTATTTATTATTATTTATTCGTGCATTGCACGTGCTACGCACTAGTTGCTATAATAAAAATAATTTATTTTTAGATGAAAATAACACTCAAATGAAGAATTTAGTTGCAATTTTCATATTTAAAATGTAAACTAGTTTTATTTATTTGGTCAATTTTTACGTAATATATTTTGCTTTCTAAAATTTGATTTTGCTAATTTTATTATTTACTTAGTTTTGGGAAGATCAAATCTATTTTTCCTTTTTAATTAAAAAAATTAGATTTAACTAATTTTATTATTTATTTAGCTTTGGAAGATGAAATTTTTTTCCTTTTTAATTAAAAAATGATTTTTTTTTAATTAAAATTTTTTATTTTCCTAATTTTATTATTTATCTAGTTTTGGGAAGATGATTTTTTTTTTTTTATTATTATTTAGGTTTGGGAAGATGAAATCCACATTTTTAGTTAAAAAATGAACAAAATTAAGTAATTAAAATCTCAAAGTTGGAGTCTTCATATGTTTTATCCAATTAATTTAGGTAATCTTTTATAACTGGCTTTATCATTCCTTTTTAGAAAATAAATAAATATACGCATAAATGACTTGAAGGAAAGAAATGCATTGGAGATAGGTATACACTGTTATAATTTATTGGTGATATTATAAAAAAAATCTCAATCCAACATGGACATTTATACACTGGATGCTTTAATGGAGATTTAATCTTGATTCAACCTCTTAGTCTTCTAATTATTTGTTAGCTAGTACAATACCCGTATACTACATGGTTACTTGTTAAAAAAAATTATATTTAAAATTAAATATTAATAACAACAAAAATTATTTTAATTTTTAAATACTTTTTTGAAAATAATATTATTATTTATATTTATATTGACCCTGTCACTTACACGACTTGCCATCGTATATTATAAGTTTTTTTTTTTTAATTTATATTAGATAAGCACTTTGTAGTTAAGTTAGTTTAAGTAAATTTATTTTTTCAAATTAATATTAATAGATAATTCAATTTTAATTATAAAGATAAATAAAACTATTATTTATTTATATGTATAACATAGATGTCCAATCGAAGCTCATCAAGGCATGGTTAATTTGATATATTATATATTAAAAAATTGTTAATAAATAAAAAAAATTATTAACTTTTAAATATATTTATAATCTATACTTGTATAAAAAGTCATCCTATTTACTAAAAATAGTAGGCAGAAAAGTCAAAGGTAATTAATGCATTCTATTTCCATCAATTTTTTCAATTGTATTATTATTTTATTGCTAAGAAACTGGTTTGCATTAATTCATCCTTAATTGATGTGTTTTGCAATAAAATCGGACAGATAGACTTCAAGTAAAAACATGTCACATTTCAAATTTAAATTTAAATATTAAAATTTCTTATCATTTTGTTACATTAAAATCCTGAATGAATTGTTTGCCATATAATCGGAAAAAATAATAATTGCATAGAATTCAAGTAAAAACATGTCTAATTTAAAATTTAAATTTTAAAATGCCTTATCATTTTATTACATTTCCGAATAATTTGTTTCCCATAACATTGGACGGAATTAATAATTGCATAGTATTCAATTATGATTTCGAATTTATATCAAGGATGTTTAATAATTGCATAGAATTTCAAAGATGTTTATTTATTATAAAAAAAATTAAATTCTAAAAAAACATTGGTGTATATTTTGTAAAATGTTTGTAAAAAATGTTTTACTTTAAATTTATTTACATAATTTAAATTAGTTACATTAATAAATAATATGAACATACTTAAATATTTCAATTACTAAAACAAAAAGAAGAAGAAGATTACATCTATAACTTGTATAAATAATGACATTATATTACAATAAATTTTATAATAAAATAATATGAGTATTATACAAGGAACAAGATTACGTAAAGTTGTTATTTTTCTTATATCAAATAATAAATATATATAATGAACTCAAATTTATATTATTATAAACATGTGAGCGAGATAATTGTTCGCTAATTATTTTCGCTATCCGCAAGTGTACGGAGTAGCTATAGGTAGTGGCGAGCAAGGTCGTATTCCACAGAGATTGTAGTTAAATTAATTAAGATAGTGACAATTAAATATTATCTAGACTAGCGAATTTGGATGATGATTATAAACTAAAAAAATTAAACTAATAACTAATTTATCTAAGAAATAAAAAATAAAATAAGATACAAACGATAGATTCTAGGCTAAGCGTTCCTCGAAATTAATTCATGAAACGTTTATATTCAAACAAACCTTATTTAATTTTACTAATCATAGAGATAATCGCTAAATTGATTTTAAACCTTTCTCTCGAACAAGTTAAATAGTATATATTAATGGTTATCTATCTCCTCTCGGTCTCAAGATGAACAACTAACTCACATAAGTTCCTAGAATTTTCGTTCTCTCGTAAGGTCCTATCAACCTCTCGGTATATTTATTCTCTTACGTTATAAATCTCCCAATTCTAGCAATCAATTATCTCCTCTCGGTCTCAAATCGATCACAAATATGCATTAATAGTGGTCATCTACTCACACAATAATAATAAGCACAAGAAATTTATAAACGAAAGATAAACCGGAATGAAAAAAATAAAAACTAAATCATAAATCAATCCTAGTACCAACAAATCCTAGAATCTAATATAAATCTAGCCTAGAAACATTCTTTCAAAATAAGAAAAATAGATAAAAAAACATTGAGTTCGAAAGACGAAAAGAAAAAGAAAGAAAAAGCTTATTCGGCTCCGTCGATCTTCTCTTCCTGGGTTTCTCCCTCGTCTTGCTTCGTGTTTCTAGCTTCCAAAGGTCTCCAAAGATGTGAAAATTATGTCCAAGCCTCCTAAAAAACGTGTCCAAGTGTTATTTAAATAGTTGGGGTCGAGTCCTAGTCGAAATAGGTCGAAAAACTCGTCAAAATAGGAAAAAACGCGTAAAGCCGATTCTGTTGCGCTCAGGGTCACACGACTCGACTCGTGTCATAGGTCACACGAAGACGTCCAGGTATCCCTCTATGCGAGTTTCAGGCAGCTCCGGCCAACCAGCTTCATAGCCGAAAACGCTCGCTCTGTAGTTGTCGTAGACACAGGGAGGGTCAAAACAAGACGAATTAACCTGAAAAATAAATTAAATAAATTAGATCGAATAAATATACAAGAATTTAATTAACAAAAATGACTTAAAGGCAATTTCAGTTGTACCTGTCAATCAAGTTGTAAATTTTTGACTTATGTGTCTCAACTAATCTTCGACATAATTAAGAAAGAGTAGATAAGTCTTGAAATCTCTCATTAGTAATGACATCAAGCTCGTAATGGTTTAATTGCAATCTTAGGTGGAGCAAATCTTGAGCATCAAAATCAAAAGGATAGAAGCGTTCGGCAAGACGATGAATATGATCCGCATTGAACAATTAAAGCCTTCTTTCGGTTCCAAGGCACAACTAAGCTTAAGAAGTTCAACCGCTTCATCCTTGAATCTACTATTTATCTCTTCAATTTGAAAATCTATTGCGGAGTTAAATACATCAAAATGACAATGATGCTCAACTGTGATTGAATCACTTTGATGACTTGAACGGCGTGCAACAGATTTATAGAGAGCTTCCATTTGAGGCACCTCAATATCATACTTGACACAAACATCCTTCACAATTTGAAGATGGGTACCAAAACCTTCTTCTCTCAACGTTAGAAGTAACGTTTTAGTAGATGAAATATTGTCCATTGCACAACATCTAAAGACTTCTCTTGCAATACCCGACAAAGTAAATTTGTTATTCCCATAATTTTTTGCATCAAGTATAATATGAATATGAAATCAAAAGACTTCATTGCAATCAAAAAACCACTCGCTTCACCTCGAATGGAATTAGAAGATCCCTCATCCACCATTTTCTCCAACACGACAATCACGAAGCTATACATATCTATCATACTACAAAGTGAGTCAAAATTAGAATTCCACCGAGTTTTTCCTGGCTTGAGTAAATTCCCAACTTGATTACTCCCTCTACCTGTTTCACGCTCCCCCATTGCTACCATATGTGCAATTTCATTTTTTTGAGCAACTTGCAAATCACAATGGCGTTTGGGAGAGGCATTTATAAGATTACCGATAGCATTCAATTTTGAAAAAAATAACCAAATGGATACCTCTTTTTCAGCAGCTGCAACTAATGCTAGCTGAAGTCGATGCGCGAAGCAATGAACGTAATATGCACTCGGACAATCTTTCAAGAATAGAGCCTGTAATACACCCCACGAGCCACGCATGTTGCTAGCACCATCATAACCTTGTCCCCGCATATTTTGAATTTGCAAATCATATCGATTTAGAGCATCCGATATTTCTTTCTTTAGCGTCGTGGCGGTTGTATCAAGGACATGAACAATAGCAAAAAAACGTTCTCTTATAAAGCCATTAATATCGACAAACCTCAATCGCCATTTGCTCTCTGTTGGAATTATCTCTCGCTTCATCCACTAAAATGCAGAATTTCGCGGCTCCAACTTCCTCACGAATTTTGGATCTCACTTGGTGAGCAAGAATATTTAGAACATCTTTTTGAATTTCTGGAGAAGTATACTTCACATTTCTTGGAGCATTCTCTAAGACTACGTCTCCAATGCTATCATTCATTCTTCCCATGAACTTTATCATTTCGATAAAATTTCCACGATTAGTTGATAATGTAGATTCATCATGTCCTCTGAATGCACATGCTTTCAATAGTTGTTGTTAGCCGCAATCTATTCTTTTGTTTCTCCTCTAAAGTTTGTGCGTTGATTAGCTTATCAACATGATGAGGCACATTCATCAAACAATCAATAGAGGCTGCAGCATTATTATGTGATGAAGTAGGGCCTCCAACATGTTGTAAGAAGGAGCATCTGTCGCCGTCATTAACTCGCTTCCAATACTTGAATCCCTCTGTAGTAAATGGTGAATTTCGAGTTTGTTTATTTTCGAACAAGAAACACGGGAAGCAAAATGCGGCATCCCTAGAAGGAGAGTACTCTAACCAAGTAAACTTCTTGAACCAATTGCTTTGAAATCTCCGATTTTGAGCTCCGAATGGCGTCGATGGATATTCTTTCTTGATAGGTTGATACGGCCCCATCTTAATATAAGCTCGTCTCATTTCATCTCTTTGATCGATGGGGCATTTCCATATTGGAGTACGCAATGCCGAGTCACGTTCAAGAGAGCTCATATCAATAGAGGCGGCAACATCATCAGTAGAAGGACGAACTCCGCTTGTCGAAGTATGTTCTTTTGGCTTAAAGAACGAATTGATAGTCTTTCTTTTCTTCGTTCCTTGATCCTTCATTATGATTGAAACCTAACAAATTAACAAATATAAGTGAATTAATGAGTAATATATCTGCAATATGACTTAATGTGTTTTTAGTAAAATAATCTGCAATATGACAAATTAACAAAAATGACTTAAAGGCTAATGTGTTTTTAGTAAAATAATAATCGGATATGATAAATAAAAATAAGAGAGAAAAAATGGATCACTCTGACAAACATGCATATACAGTTGACAACAAATATATTGGATGGAAAATTTTACACCACAGCTTTTTAATCAAATTCAAGCATGATTATTTTTGACATCTGTCTCTCATTTGACTCTTTCTGTGACATCTACCAATTCTTTTTAAGACTGAGTGCTAGACTTTTAGTTCTTTGCTAATTGACCTTTAATTTTAAGTTATTATGCAGAACCTCACAAAACCATCCAAGAGATTGCAAGATCTTTGATGGGTTCTGTTCTTTCTGATGCTAGGTTAAGTAGCTAATTTTCTAATGGAATTGCTACAACTTGAGTTATTTTTTTTTCCACCCAGTTTTTAAAGCCATGAGTAATTTTTTTTGTTTTTGGATAATTCATGAGGTGAAGTAAAATGAGTGCAATCTTTTAAAGGAATTTCTATATCACATCTATTTCGCATCAAAATAACAAACTAAAACCAACCCATCAAAATAAAAAAAAAAAAGTTTCCTTTATGGAATATTTCTCTCTCTAGAGATGCGTTCTCCGAGTGAGAAGGGGGTTTAGGGTTTTCTCAGTTTTTCCACCTGCATCCTTTAAGCACACCCATCCAATTTCTTTCGCATTTCCATCCAACTTCTCTTGCACTCTAAATTCAGGCATTATTCATTTCCCGGTAAGCTTATCTTTCGTATTTCCTTTGGATCCGTTGGCGATCTGCATTTTTCTTGTTGAGTTTATATCTGGAGCTTTTCTAGGGTTGTGTGGTTGGCTTTGGGAGTGGGTTAGGTTTTCTGTTTTTGGGTTTTTGTTATGGCGAGTGAATTAACGGATCAACTCAATAAATTTGAGTTATCCGAGAAGGAATCTACTGGGGTGGAGTTACTAGATCTTGATATCGAACCTACGGTACAAGACTGTAAGCTCAGTCTCATTGGGAAGGTGTATGGGGATAAGAAAATAAATTTTACTGGGCTGAAAGTTACTTTGAAAAATATATGGATGACCAAGTCTCTATTCTCTATTAGATGCATTGGTCATAATTTGTTTCATTTTTTGTTCTCAAATGTGGAGGATCTGGATAAAATTCTTAATGGTAAAACTTGGTCATTTGATAATCAATACATTCTTCTAAAAAAATGGGTTCCTGGGCAAGTGGTTTTCCAAGAAGAGGAGGTTATTAAAATGTGGATGCAAATCCACAATCTTCCACTCCATTGGGTAGCCCCGGAAACAGGGTACAAATTGGGAAAGTTAGTGGGGAAGGTTCTGGATGTTCTTGTCCCTGCTGCAGGCAGCTGGGATGGACATTTGGTTAAAATCCTGGTGGAGATGAAGTTATCTGAACCGATCCCAAGGGGAACCAATGTCAAGTTAGGTCAGGAATGCAAGTGGGTTGATTTCAAATATGAACATTTGCAGACCTTTTGTTACTATTGTGGTAAGATAGGCCACAATGATAGAAACTGTGCCTCTAAGAAAGATGAAATTAGGAGGGGCATAGTTAAACATAATCAATTTGGGGACTGGCTTAAAGCTACCCCAATTAGCTTTTTAGAGTCCAAAAGTTTTACCTCCTCAGCTGGGGGCAGTGCCCAAGGTAGAAGTGGAGGGGAGGAATCCGTGAGGAATGAACAATTAAATAGTGGGATAGGAAAGGTGGGAAGTTCCCAAGAGATCATAACTAAAAATCCTGATAAAGGGATCATTACCTTAAGGTCAGAGGGTCAGGAGGAAGCCTTAGGTTCTGAGAATTCTGAGGGGAAAGATAAAGAGGATAAGAGTGTAGGGGAGAGAGGGGTTGTTGAAAATGATAATAATGAATCCCAGTTAATGGACATCACTGTCCAAACTGACATCATAGAGGGAAGGGCTTTGCAGAGGAGAAAGAAAGCTTTTGTTAGGAAACCCAGAACCCAAGGGAAAGTGGGAAAAGTGAGTGCTGAAAGTGAGGATAAGAATGGGATAGAAATTGATAAGAGGGAGACAGAGAGTCTTAAAAGAAACTTTGATAGTTTGGTAGGTCTTGAACAGGAGGATAATGAGAAATGGGGTGTGAATAAGAAAGTTAAAAAATCTGAATTATCTGAACCTTTGGTGGAGGAAACCAGCCATAACTGGTCCCAAGGTTATCAATGAAAGTTTTGGTGTGGAATGTTCACACTAGGGGCGGTACCGTAATTAACCAACTCTTTAAGTGTGAACGCAACAAACCAAGTAATTACGGTACCGCCCCTAGTGTGAACAATCGCAGTATAACTTCAACCTCGTCCTGCTTGAATTATACTGCGAGTGTTCATACTAGGGGCGGTACCGTAATTAACCAACTCTTTAAGTGTGAACGCAACAAACCAAGTAATTACGGTACCGCCCCTAGTGTGAACACTCGCAGTATAGAGGATTGGGAGGACCCTCTACAATTTCCCAAATCAAAGAGTCTATGAAGACTCACCTCCCAGATTTTCTGTTTTTATCTGAAACTAAGAAAAAAGAAAAATTTGTTAAAACTGTGTGTAGGAATTGTAAGTTTGAAGATAGATGGACTGTAGTTAATCCTGTTGGGACTAAAGGTGGTCTTTTATTGTGTTGGTCTGATAATATTTTGGTTGAACAGCTTTTGTGTAGTGAATTTTGCATTGAAGTGTTGTTTAAATTCAAAAACAGTGACATGTCTCAATGGGGGGTTTTTGTTTATGCCAGCAACATTCCTTCTGTTAGATTAGCTCAGTGGAATTTCTTACTGAGGCATAGTCTGATGTGGGGAGAACACTGGTTTTTGGGAGGGGATTTTAATGATATCCTCTCCCATCATGAGAAGAGAGGGGGTTTAATGAGAGATGAGGGTAGTTTTAAGAGTTTTAGGACTTTGGTGAGAGGGCTGGGAGCTGTTGATAGTAAAGTGATTGGGCATCCTTTCACTTGGTCTAATCACAGACAAGGAGTGGATTTCATAGAAGAGAAACTAGATAGGTTTTTCTTCTCCCCAGAGTGGTTTAGAAAATTTCCTAATGCTGTGGTTAGACACATCCCCCTTCTCTCTTCAGATCATTGCATGCTTCTGTTGGAGGTGGAAGGGATTGTAACCAAGAAACCTAGAAGGTTTTTCTTTGATAATAGATGGACTAGGGTGGAGGGTTATCAGGATGTGATTTCTAATGCTTGGAATATTCCTGTTGGTGGGTTTAGTTTGGTTAGTATTCAAAGCAGAATTAGGAATGTGAGAACAGCTATCCTTGGATGGTTGCCCTCTTTTCCTCATAATTCTGCGAAGGAAATAGAGAAGCTGAAAGATAGAATTAGTGAGATTGAGGAGTTAGGGGCTGATAGAGACTGGGAAGGGTGGAGAAATTGCAGGAATAGGTTGCATCTAGCTTATAGGAATGAAGAAGTCTTTTGGCACCAGAAAGCTAGAAACAATTGGCTAAATTGTGGGGACAAGAATACAAAGTTTTTCCAGGCTTCTGTCAAGAATAGAAGAAAATGCAATGGCCAGGATAATTTGTGTAATTCTGAGGGCATTAAATGTAGTAGTGAGCAGGAGACTATTAGTGTGCTTGAAGATTATTTTGCCAACCTTTTTAGAACTTCTAACCCCTGTGTTGATAGGTGTAATCTTGAGGGTATTCCTTCTTCCATATCTCTGGAAATGAACATAAAACTTACTGAAGCAGTTTCAGAGAAGGAAATTAGGGAAGCCCTCAATGATATGCATAAGGAAAAAGCCCCTGGGGAAGATGGTTTAACTGTTGGTTTTTTTGTTAGCTCTTGGTCCATTGTCAAAGATAAGGTGGTTGAGGCTGTCATTAATTTCTTTAATAGTGGGAGAATGCCTAAAGGGATAAACCATGCAATAATAACTTTAATTCCCAAAAAGAAAAACCCTTCATTTGTGACTGATCTGAGACCCATAAGTCTGTGTAATGTCATGTATAAACTCATAGCTAAAGTCATTGCTAACAGAATTAAAACTGTCTTGCATGTGTGTGTTTCTCAAGCTCAGTCAGCATTTGTCCCAGGAAGACAAATTTTGGACAATGCTATCATTGCTAATGAGTGCATTCATTTCTTAAATAGTAAAAGAGCTGGCAGGGATAGATTTATGGCTGTTAAGCTGGACATGTCCAAAGCTTATGATAGAATTAAGTGGGGATTTTTGGCTAGGGTTTGCATTAAAATGGGTTTTTGTCACAAAGTGGTCAACTGGATTCTTGCTTGTGTAAGTACTACCACCTTTAGTTTTAATGTGAATGGGGGCAATGCAGGTTTTGTTAATGCTTCTAGAGGTCTCAGGCAAGGGGATCCTCTATCCCCTTACCTTTTTATAATTGTGTCAGAGGCTTTCTCTAATTTAATCTGTCAAGCTAGGTCTAAAAAGGTTTATCAGGGGATTAGAGTCAGTAGAGAAGCTCCAGTTATTTCTCACTTGGTTTTTGCTGATGATTCCTTATTATTGTGCAAAGCTGATGCTAATCATGGCAATATTATCTTGAATATCCTCAAAGAATATGGCTCTGTTTCTGGACAGTGTGTGAACTTGAGTAAATCTTCCATTTTCTTTTCCAAAAACTCTGATAATGCCACTATTTCTGGGGTGTGTAATATCCTGCAGGGGGTGAAAGTTGTGAAAACCTCTAAACACCTTGGCCTCCCTTTGGGGATTGGCAAATCTAAGAGAGAAACATTTCAATTTGTGAGTGAGGCAGTCAAAAACAGAATTTCAAATTGGAAAAATGTGTATTTGAGTAAGGCTGGGAGAGAGATTCTGATCAAATCGGTGATTGGAGCTATCCCTACTTATATTATGTCTTGCTATAGGCTTCCTGTTTCAATTTGTGATGACATGTGTAAAGAAACAGCAAATTTTTGGTGGGGAAAAAAAGATAATGGGGGGGGGGAACAAGTTACATTGGGCTAGATGGGATAGGCTAGTTTTAGCTAAAGGGGAAGGAGGGTTAGGATTCAAGGATTTAAGAGCTTTCAATGAGGCTCTCTTAGTTAAGCAGCTTTGGAGAGTGATCACTATGCCTAATCTTTTGATGAGCAGGGTCATGAAAGGTAAGTACTTCCCTAAATCTAGTATCTGGGGAGCTAAGGGAAGAGGGGGGGACTCATGGCTTTGGAAATGTTGGTTAGGGGCTAGGAAATCTTTGAGGTTGGGTACTAGGTATAGGATAGGGGATGGCAGAAATGTTAACATATGGGAGTCCCCCTGGATCCCAGATATTGAGGGGTTTATTCCTCAGTGCAGATTTGCTGTGGATAGGGATAGACTAGTTAAGGTCAGGGATCTCATGGGTGAGGGTGGTCATTATTGGGACAGGGAATTGATATTTCAGACTTTTGATCCTAGGACAGCTAGAGCCATTATCAATATTCCTCTTAATGCTTTGGGTATGAGAGACAGATTAGTGTGGCATGGTCAGAAAATAGGTATGTTTAATGTTAAAAAAGCTTATGATCTGATTATTAAGAAAGGCAGACAGGGACATAGAGATAAGGGTTCTAGTAGTAATGAGTGGCAGATTAAGAAAATGTGGCAGGTTACTTGGAAATTACCTATTCAGAATAAACTTAAAAATTTTTTATGGAGGTGTTGGTTTGAGTTTGTTAGTGCTAAGATGCAATTAAGGAAGAGAGGTATGGGAGCTGAGGTGACCTGTGAACTATGTGGGGAGGGGGAGGAAGACTTGAATCATATTTTGTTTAACTGTAAGAGGGCTAGGGGTTGTTGGAGGCTTCTGGGGGTAAGCTGGAATAGGATAGAATATGGGGGTACTGATTTTGGGGTGTGGTGGGCTGAGATTTGTAATGCTTCTAAAGTTAACCACATGATTGATAGAATAAGTCTTTCTACATATATGTTGTGGTGGCTTTGGAAGACTAGGAATAGTTGGGTGTTTGAAAAAAAATGGGTTGGGGAAGTGGGGACAGTCCAAAGGGCTGTGAATGAGTGGCATTTATACAAGAGCAGTGTTAAAAGATGGAAGGGTAATGACAGGGATAAGGGTAATGGGGTAAATGGAGAGGAGATAGTGCAGGTTAGGTGTGAGGAGCTGATCCAGAATGGAGGGACAGAGAGTGGCTTTGAAGATGGGATTATGATTGCTGTTAGTTGTTGGAAGCAAAATGGCAGATTGGGGATGGGGGGAAGAGCTTTTAGAGAAGACAATGACCTACAACTATGGGATGCATCTAGAGACTTTCATGGAAGTTCAGTGGAAGCCTATATTGTAGCAACTATGTGGGTGCTCGAGGAGGCAAAGAAGAAGGACTGGAAGAACATCATTTGCTATGTTGACTGTAAGGAGATGGTGGAGTGGACACAAGATTTCATAACAAATCAGAGAAGGAGGGAGGAGCAGGCATATGCATTCAACCTTTTGGTGACTAGTTTTAACTCTTGTACTTTTAGTTTTAATGCTAGTATTTGTAAAGATTGTAACTTTCTAGCCAAAATGGCTATCCAAGGTGATTTGTAAGTGTTTTAAATCATTCTGGGGTTCCCAAACATGTGTGTGAGCTTGTTAGGGGAACCATGGTGCCTAGTTAGGCCTCGTATTGTAAGACGTTTATTGTTGAGTAATTTTATCTTGTTTGTCGTTGGGAAAAAACCAACCCATTGTGCAACCATTGTTCGATTTCTTACCTGCTAGGGTTGCGGCCGTGGCCCGTGGCGGATTGGCGGCGTCCAACGAGGAGGACTGGATTCTGGAGGAGTGAAGACGTGGACGTGATGGTGGGATTAGCGGCGAAGAGAAGTGAACTCGGGGCCGTGGCGGAGGGAATTGCAGCGAAGAGGAGTAAAGCAGGGAGTTGTCGGGCTCGAAGAGAAAATTAATTTGCAGAGGTCTAATTTTTTAATTTACATTATAAATCAAAGAAAAAAATCGACACTTTTATGTTGGACAATACAACATGTTCGGGCCAGAAGATGAGTTTGATTTTCCTAATTTTTTGGGCTTTCCTGTTGGGCTAGTTCAAATGAACAGGGTGGGTTAGGTATAAGACTATATGGGCCTGTGACAAAAATAATTTAAGTGGTAAACTAATTTTTTTTTTTTTTTTTTTTTTTTTTTACTTGGGGCTGGAGCCCACCCTAGCCCATGGGTGGCTCCGCCCCTGCGTAAGCATAGCCGTGCGTCTTCTCCTCTCCAGTGACCGTAGCAGGTGGCAGAGGTCTATCTGAAGTCTAGCGGGACGGTGGCGAGCGGTCAGTTGGTGTCGAGGTGCTCCGGCGGTTTCATGGCTGCAGCTCTTGGTTCACTTCCATGGCAGCAATAATGGCGGACGGCTCGAACATGATCGGAAGTTAGGACGGCGGGAAGTTGTCTGGTCGGAGGGCCTCTGTCTTTCCAGAATCAGCGAAGGCGAGATGGTGCTGCGGTTGGTGAGCTTGGTCGAGAAGCTGCTGCTCGTCAATGGCAGATTACGTACGTGGAGTGATAAGGAAGAAGGTGGAAGAAGACACCACAACTGAAAAGACCTCTTTGCCCTCCTTTAAGTGGCTCTTTTGGGCTGAAATTTTAGCAATCTGCCGGGCTGATTTAATAATAATACATTGGGCCACTAAATGGGCTGCCATCAATCTCCAAGCGGGTCTTGCACTTGGGTCTGTTCCAATGCAAGGCTCGCCCCACTTTAATGTCCAATTCAAGCTGTTTTGGACTCCGAAAATTATTTCGACCCCGTTTCCTGTTGAAAACTCAAAATAACACCTCATCATAGCTTAATAAAATTATTTAAATATATATTTAATTATACAATAATTAATTATATAATAATTATTTATATATCAAACTACAACAAAACAGACACGAAAATCACTATAAAATGCACGTAAATATGACGCATGTAAATAATATATTAATTAATTTACAGGCTAGCGCTACCAGACTCAGGTTTAATGTTCCGACAAAAAATATGACGTTGATGAAAAGATGTAAAAAGATAGATGATCAAACTCTGTTATTTTTTTAGGCCTAAACGAACAAGCCCTATGGTCCACTCATTTAATATATCCCATGAATCGCACGAGCTACTTAACGGACAAGCTCTGTGGAAATGACCCATTTAATACTTTTGTCTCGTGCGTCGCACGAGCTACGTACTAGTTCAAATGCTATAGGATACATTATTAGTTTTCTTCATCATGATTAAGTTTGAATTGAAAATTACAAATTTACAATAATTAGAATATTATATATACAAGTTGTTTTACATAAGATATTCATATTCTAAGATTATCTTAGATTACAAATTCGTTAACTTAAAGATTAATATTCTAGAAAATATTTAGACAAATATTTCAAATATTTAACTAATTATTGTATCTATAACTATATTATTATAATTCATTTAGGAAATTTGTTTTTTTACATAATAAGGAATTCAAAGTTTAACTTGAAGATTAATATTCTAGAAAATATTTAAACAAATATTTAATTAATTATATTATTATTGTTCATTTAGAAAATTTGATTTTTACATCATAACGAATCCTTTCGTTGCAAGTCTATGTCTGTCGCCCGAACAGACCATGACGATCCTTTCGTTCCAAGTCCTTTCGTTGCAAGTCTATGTCTGCCGCCCGAAAGGATCCTTTCGTTCCAAGTCTATGGCTGCGCCCGGACAGGACCATCGCGACGTTGCCCGTGTCGTACTTTTTACGATATTTTTCATAATACATATAACAATTACTTCAACCTACTATATTTATACATATTTTAATTACAATTTAATAATCAAATCTAATATCTATATTTTATTAAAATTAAATAAAAATAATATAAATTATTTTAATTAATGAAGAAATCTTTTTGTCATTCATAACTCACTCACTCATAGGTTCAATATTAGTAATTGGTTCGAACTTTGAATACTTTCAATCCAACAATCCGAGACGCATGTGTAGAGTTTTCATCAAAGTTTCAACAACAACCAACAGCTTACACCATCTCAAAGGTTTTAAAAAGTTGCATATCAATATTTCTATAGTTTTCTAGTTAAAGTTAGTAAACTTGGTATAATTTTAAAAAAAATAAGAAAGATGAGAAAAAAATTATACCTTATAAACCACATCTACAATAGGAAATGATATTAAACATAATTAATACTCTTCAAAAGGACCATAAATATCCAACATATTTATAGATATTCACCTAATTCCTTTTGAATTGATAAATTAAAATTCATCCAAGCCAAACAACAAAGATTAAAAATTTGACAAATAGGATCCCGAAACGTGCGTGCCTACCACTTAAACTCAACACAATCAGAAATTATATATAAGAAAAATTATTCCCGATCTCAATTGAATAAATATGGGAAGAACAAACACACACACACAAGAAAAAAGAAAAAAAAAAATTAGAGAGAATACAAAAGCAACAACTTAATTAAAAGTTCTTTAGCAGCATGAATATATAATACAGGAACTGAATTTTTTTCACGCAAAACATCCATAAAACTAGGTTTACTTCAACCAAGAGACAAACTAGCCACAAAGACATCCAATAAGTACATATATATTGTTCACAGCTAACAATTGGAAGCTATGAAAAAATATATATAAACATCATGCATGCATACTTTATTTATGATAATTAATTAAAACTGTCGGTGACTGTTCGACTCGGACTAATGGTGTTGCTGATTCGGTCCATCGGGCACATCCCTTAAAGGATCCACATCGATTAATACCTTCGCTTTCCTTTGATAGTATTCAAACTTAGCCTCGTCAAATCCCAGCTTACGCATCAATAGGTCACCGTTAGCCCTCGTGCCATGGTCGGGTAGTTTGTTTCCAGCCAGGATATTTGATCGTGCAACCGAGCTCACGATGAACAAAGGCAAGATGATCGTTATGAGTAGCAATTTGACACCTGAATTTTTCATTTTTGATTGCTAATATGATTGATTTGAAAGAAAAAAGGAGAAATGTTTTTATGATGTTGAAGATGTGATTAAGCTAAAGAAATTATGTGAATGGTTTGTGTGGTGTGGTGTGGTGTCCTATATATAGGGCCAAAAAGTACATGGGATATTGTAATTGTGTGTGTATGTGTTTTTTAAAAAAAATTAAATGAAAAAAATTAGTGAGTTCACCCTCATTCATTAGAGTTTGAAATCTGAAAAGAATTGCAATTTCATCAGTTACGTTTCAAAGATTTTCTTGATAAAGAAAAAAATATATGTGGCTTATTTTGATTTCGTCATACATATATGCTAAAAAAATTCTGTACCCATCTTAGAAAAAAAATTAGCCAGATTTGTGCATGTGTGAAAATTGTTTGAACCAAGATACCTTAAAAATTGTAAGTTTGAACCAAGATATACCTTACCATTCATTACATTTTGAAATTTAAAAAACAAAATAAAATAAATTGTAATGTTTGTCGGTCACGTTTCAATACTTTTAAAAATTAAACAATAAAATCCTTCATATATGACTGATTTAGAGAAAAAAAAATAAAAATCCTTTATATATGGCATATTCAGATTTCATTTATGTAGAAAAAAGTTACTAATCTATCATATATCCATCTCAAAAATCATTTAAATATTTGGTAAACAAGTAAGCTAACTTATAGTTTATTTAGTTAGCTTATAAGCTTCATGTATTTAAATAAGCTCCGTTTGATAGGACAACCTTTTTTAAAAAGCTCGAGCTTATTTTTGGATAGTTTTTCAAATAAGCTCGTTGAAATTTTTATTTCAACTAGTTTATCAGCTAATTTTACTAAATATTTTTATCATATAAGCTAGCTTTTCTACTAATCTATAATCTCAAAAATTATTGATAAACTATAAATTAGCTTATCAGCTATCAGCTCGCTTATAAACTAATTTTACCAAACATAGCAAGTAGCCGAATTTGCAGACGGGAAGAATCCTTACAAGTTTCCTAGAGCGCCAATATATATATAATTGTAGACTATCAATCTAATGTTATTTCCTCGCTCTTTTTTTTTTCATTTATTTATGAAAATTGACGGTTACATTTTATATTATTTAAATGTGATATTTTTTTAACTTACTTGTCATAATAATATTATAGCAAATTTTTTTCTTCAAACTATTTAATTTTATCTTATTAAGTTTTTTTTAATAACTATATGATTTTAATGCATACAAATTAAACCCTTTAAAATTATATACACAATATATATATAATAAGAATAATGTTACATTAATTTTAGAAAGCTTTTACCGCCATAAACGTTAATAACACACTAAAAATGGTAATTTAAAAATTTATTTTAACAAAAAAATTATTAATAGCATTCATTATAGTTGCATTTAAAAACTCAATCAGATTGCATTTACGACATTGACAGCTGTTAGCAAATTTGTTAACACATTTATTAGATACATGTGAATTTATTTACAATCAAATCATTTTGATTTTATCGTACGTAGCCCGTGCGATGCACGGGTCTGAGTTTCCAGATGACCTGTTCATTAGGTTTAAAAAAATAGAGTTAGATCATATATTTTACACCTCTTTTGATTATCGTTATTTTTTAGTCATAACGTTAAACCTCAGCCTATTAGCTCTAGTATGTAAATTAATTATTAGCTCTAGTATGTAAATTAATTAACATATTATCTCGCTAAAACGTTGATACTAATATAAATTTGATTTTAGTATATATATTTATTCTTTTAATATAAAAAATAATAGTTTTACATATTCTGGTATAATACTTAATTTATTATTTTATCATAAAATTTATTGTCATTATAATTTTTTAATAAATATTTTAGAAAATAAAAAAATATTTATCTATTTACAAACTCATTATCTCGAGTTTGAAACCATAAATTTTATTCTTAAAATAAAATTTAGAAAATTTTAACTTGTAATCAAAGATGAATTTGAATTGATTTGAAATTCCTAGCTAATCCATCTCAAATTTATTTTGTAAAAAAAGGCTATCCAAAATGTTTATACCAAGTGTCCTAATATTTTTAAATTGTAAAAAGTCTTCATGCAAAATATCTCCACTGATTTTGGCGGACCACAATATCGTATTTGATTTTAGGAAGTGAATAGTTGTGTATGTATATGGAAGAAATTTGAAAATTCAAATTCCAAAACCAATACCACAATATCGTATTTGATTCAACAAATTAATTAATTTTAGGAAGTGAATAGTTGCGTATGTATATGGAAGAAATTTGAAAATTCAAATTCCAAAACCAATATCGTATGTAATGGGTTTATACAAAGTTCCCAATTTTTTCAAAATTGTATAAATCTTTCATGCAAGGAATCTTCACTAATTTGGGGACCAACAAATTACTTAAATTTAGGAAAGAATAAATTGTGTACGTGGATACTGTTTCTGTTGTATGTTTAAAGAAAATAAATTTAAAAATGGTATTGATATGGGATTGTATTATGAGGGATTTAACAAAAATACAAATTTTTAGGACACGATTTGATTTGAATTTTTCAAATTAAATTCCACTTTTTTAGGCCACCTTAGTCAATTGATGATAAGGATTAATGTTAAAAAGAAAAAAGNTTTTATTTTATCCAAGCTTTTGTACTAGTACTTTTTCGTCTTGTCTACTTCTCTAGGCCTTCGGGTAGTGGAGAATCTTCCTCGAGCGTTTGTTTGTTCTCGATTGGTCTAGGCCGCCTTTGGCGAGTCCTCTCAGTTTTAATTTTTGGGTTAGGCTCGTTGTATTCGAACATTGTTCGTTTTTGCTGGAGTTAATACTACCTCTATCGTTTCGATAAAAAAAAAAAAAGTATAGATATACATAAATTATTTGCATTAGCAAGATATACATTAATATTTGCATTAGCAATTATAACATATGAGTTTGCATTAATAATTATAGATATACATAAATTATTTGCATTAGCAAGACATACATTAATATTCGCATTAGCAATTATAACATATGAATTCTCTTTTTATGGTATAATTATTTACAATAAGATTATCGGAATTTTGTACGATATTATATTTTAGAAACAATTACACATATTCCTCTCTCAACAACATTATCGAAATTTTGTACACCAAATAATTAATAATTTTGTACAACAAATAATTTTACATTGTAGTAACCACATATTTTTTTCTATTGCTAGATTGTTGGTATAATTTTATTTCTTCAAAACAAAATTATCAAAATTTTGTACAGCTTTATATTCTAGTAACAGATTTTGTTAGGATCTTCCGTATATAAACAAAATTAAATGCTATATCACATGCGATAGTCATAATATAAAACTGATATAAAATAGATAGACAATGTTTTTATATCTATTATATAAATTTTCTCTCATTAAACTTATGTATTACACTATATTTTTTTTTACTTGTTTTTAATATTTTAAATATAATGATTTATGTTCATTTATATAAGATAATATTATATTGTTTACAACAAACTGATATACGTAAATTATATCCATGTTAAATCAAAATTTTTAATTTATAATTATTATTTAATATTGTCTATCAACATCTTTAATTTATAATTATTATTTAATATTATTTACTCGTGCATCGCACGAGCTACACATTAAGTGCTATAATAAAAATAAAATTATTTATATTCAACTAATTAATGGGTCATGATTTCTTAAATTTATGAAAAAATATATTATTCGTTACATTTTATGTCATTTATATAGTGATTCATATATAAATAAAATAGTAAAATTATATTGTTCATTTTTATTGATAATCAGATTTATAAAATGTGATATGTATATTATATATTTTATGTTTATAAATATATCATACATAAAATTTATATAATTTTGTTTGCATATGTACACATGCACACATGATTAATTATACTTACTTCGGCTCGTAAACGAATCGAGCTTTGTTAAATAAATGAACCTGAAATGGAGCTCGAACTCGGCTTATTTATCATTAATAACAAGCCGATTTCGAACCTTAATGAGTCGAGCTCGAACTTTAACGAATCGAACTATAAAAAATTATGTAAGAAGTCTCTATTTGACCCTTATCGAGCCGATCATTTAATTTAACAGCAGAATACCTACTCTAGCCACAATAGTAGGGAGTCTTTTATCTCGTCTCAACTAATTAACGTCAGCTGCATGTGATTTATTCCCAATCAATCTGTTCTATACCGTATAACTTTTGGAGCAAAGAAAGTGACATTATCTACGATGGATAGTCCCACACATTATTTTNNNTTTTATTTTATGTTTTGCCTTAATAAAATGATAAATGTAAAATAAAATTAACTGACCAGATGACATGTCAATCGGACTGCTGTTTTTAGTTAATTATCCAGTCACCATTTTTGTCCTTTGACTAAGCAGCCGTCATTTGGTCGTCGTGCGAAGCATGGGTTGATCTAATGCACATGGAAGCACAAAACCTTAATTGTTCTAACAATAAACAATTAAGTGTAATTTTCACTTTAATGCCATTTTGATCCCAACATGATCATGTTAGTCTTGTCCGTTTCCGAAGATTGTAAAACTATCCAATGCTGAAAGTTACCGATTTTTAATACATGACTATTGATTATTGCGTGGATAATATCCACATTGGATATGGTGAATGCAAAAAGAATAAAAATTTGATTCTTATCATCTTCTTCAATGTATCAATTCATAGACAAAAGAAAGAAGTTATTTGTTTAGATGAACTAATTCAATTGATTTTTTTAATATGAAATAACAATATTTATGTGAGATGGCCAAGTTATTAGACCAGTCAATCCGTTATACTTTCTAACAAAATTTCGTTATTTATGTTGTTTTTTGAAAATATGACATTTCAATTTAAAAATATGCATTTATGTTAAAAAGTACGTCTACTTAATCGTTGGATCTGCTTAACAATAACTTTAGTGTAGTATGTTAACAACAAAAATTTTAGCATGGT